GAATTTTGACACATACCAGAAACTAATTTTCTGAAGTGAATGATTTAGTGGGAAAACAAAAACCTGCTACGGTGTTTGGGAGGGGAAGAATGAGAAAGTGAAAACTGAAAATCTTGGTAAAAGATGCTTTTTGGTAGACTGAAACCACTGAAAAAATGCTTCCTTAGTCCATCTGTCCTGGTTTCGGCTGGCATAGAGTTAATTTTCTTCCTAGTAGCTGGTACAGTGCTGTGTTTTGGATTTAGTATGAGACCGATACTGATAACACACTGATGTTTTAGTTGTTGCTGAGCAGTGCTTACCCTAAGTCAAGGACTTCTCCGTTTCCCATGCTCTGCCAATGAGGAGGTGCACAAGGAGCTGGGAGAGAGCACAGCCAGGACAGCTGACCCCAAGTAGCCACAGGGATGTTCCATACCACAGGACGTCATGCCCAGTTCAGAAACTGGAGGAGTTGGCCAGGAGGGGCCGATTGCTGCTCAGGGATGGGCTGGGCATCAGTCAGCGGGTGGTGAGCAATTGCATCGTCCATCACTTGTCTTTCATGGGTTTTATTTCTCTCTCTCTTTTTGCTGTCTCCCTTTTAATTACTATCATTATTATTATTTTATTTCAATTATGAAACTGTTCTTATCTCAACCCACAGGTTTTACCTTTTTCCAATTCTCCTCCCCATTCCACCAGGGGCGGGAGGAGGAGTGAGCAAGTGGCTCTGTGGTGCTTAGTCGGTGGCTGGGGTTAAACCATGACACTGTCTTCTAATTTTTTTTCCTAAAATAAATGTTAAAAAAAGTATTCCTCCCTTTTTAAATACAAAAATTGAGAAAAAATGCTTTTCAAAATCCTCCATTTGACGTCCTTGCAAGTGTTCCATTAACAATACCTACAGCTTTGTTTTAATCACACCTTGAAAACCAAGTAGTTGAGAAATATAGCTTAATATTTTCAGAAGTCATAGGAAGTCTGATGTTAACAGAACCTTTTAAAGCAGTCCAATGGTCTTAAATTCACTTTACAAACTAGTTCTAAGCCTCCAGCAATGGAGAGGAAAGCAACGGATGAAGTGTAGGTCATTTAAAAAAAACAAAATCCAAGCAGTTATCAAAGTATATTCTCCTGGGCTTGCTATTTCAATAAGCTGCATTGGTGCACATTGCGGTTTTCCCTGTCTTCCCAAGACCCCTGGACCAATACAACTCTAAAACTACTCAGTCCGAGTTTCAGTAGTTTGAACAAATTAGGAAAAACTCTCTGCTTTTGCTTTACATGCAGTTTATGGCGCAAAGTTAGACTGACAACTTTGGAAGTTAAAAGTCACCTTGTGTTTCAAGTTCTCAGATCACAGAGCAAGAAGGAGTCATAAATGATCCGGCCATGTCTCCTTCATAAACCAATCGCAGGATTCCCTGAGCAATTCTGGTGCCAGGGGACGTGCTCAAACTGGAAAATCACCCAACTCCAGTGATGGAGACTCCACCACAGCCCTTGATAGATTTTAAGGATTTAACACACTCACTCTTAAACAGCTATAGCTTATTTGTCCTCTCTATGTATTAATTTTCAAAACATCGAGCTTTTAATATCTCCATTTGCTGGGCTGATGATCAGCTCTGTTTACCCTCTAAGTATTTATCAGCCATGACGTTATCTAGTAACCTTCCCTGAGAAGTTAAATAACTTGGGCCCCTACTTGCTCACTGCAAGGTATATTTGCCAAAGCTGTAATTATTCTCCTTGTTTCCCTTTTTAAGCTACTCCAGATAACACATCACTTATTGGTAGAAGTCATATAAACAAACTATAGACTCTTAAAAAAAGGTGAATTGAAGTTGCAGAGACCCAAGTCTCTCCATTTTGTTTATTTTGTGGGCAGTAGTTTATCTCCAGTCTTCTGTACTCCTTACAGCCAAGCTTAGCCCCACTCCTTAACTTCTGAGGAGCTGGAAGGATGTGAGGGGGTGAAGCTGTGTCACAGCCTGCACCATCACAAAGTGGAGTGGTACCTCCTCACTTCCAAGGTTTACCAGTTCTTGCAGTTGCATCCCTTTTGGCCTGCGGGAAGGAAATGCTCAGGCTGGTCATCAGCCTGTGGCTCCCAAATATACTTTGTGTACTTGGCCCACAATCCCAAATAAAAGTTGAGAATCCAAATACGTCATGTTGGCCACATACTAGCTCCGTCAGGCTGACTGACCTTTCTCTGTGCAGTTCTGAAATACAGAAAACAGGGACATTCACATACCGCAGTCGGCCAGAGGCAAACAAGTCCATCTGACGGCAGTCACTGGGGGCAGTAATGGGGACAGACCACTCTGAGAACTCTCCCATCCTCACCTTCGCACCAGCGCAGCTGCCACATACAAGCAGTGACAGATGGGTAGACATGGGAATTTCTAAGAAAACATCTGACGGTAGTCACTGGGGGCAGTAAGTAATGGGGACAGACCACTCTGAGAACTCTCCCATCCTCACCTTCGCACCAGCGCAGCTGCCACATACAAGCAGTGACAGATGGGTAGACATGGGAATTTCTAAGAAAACACCACATACTCTTACTCAAAGTGCATGTAGCTAACATGATACAAGGCACAGTGAATAGCAAGTATTTTTATATTCATAGTGCTATGAGTGTCAGCAGGAGTTTGATGATAACGAGTTGATTTCCTGATGGCTGAAGGATAATAAAAATAGTAAGAAATGCCTAGGTTTTACAACCTTATTCTCAAGCTAATCTCAAGCGTTACAGACGTTAAAGAAATTCAAGCACCTAGCACATCCATACAAAGCTGTAACTTCATGAAAATATTTGCCTATTATGAACTGACACTTCCAAATACATGGGGTATTCAAAATGCATTTTATCTGTGTAGCAAAACCACAGGCACTCACGGAGGGGTAGGACAAGCCTGCAGATCACCTATACAAAGAAGACCATCTTCTGCACCTCATGAGAGTTTATACTGATGTCAACATGGCTGCCTATGTATAGAGAAGCTGCTATCCAAGCTCAGTCAAGCTGTGTAGCTGTAAGATCAGCATAGCAGGAAGCTTGCTACTGGCACTGCACTGTAGCCAACATCATCTTGTCTTCCAAAATGAAAGCACAGGCAACAATTTCTTCCATCCTTGATCATTTCAAGCAATTTTCAGCTTTAGTTTTATTACTATAATTCAAATCAATGCCTGTAAAAAGGGTAGTGGTTGTTTATCAGTACACAAACTATCACACTGTTCTTATGCCCAATAACACAACAGACAGAAGTCATGCACACACTGTTGGGGGAAAGCATTATTGCCTCTCCCACCCCCGTAACATTTTCCCCAGGGAAAACACTGTTATGGAAGAAGAAAGTGGAAGAGAGGGAGAAGCACAAGAGAGAAATTGTGCACTTGGTTGTACATTTTAGGCAAAGAGGTGTGTGGGAGAATTACACATCTTCATGCTGTACTGCAGCTGCTACCAAGGGGTTAAGGGCCCACAGGACTCTCAGTTTTGCAGTAACACCAAATAATCCAAGTGGGAAGGAACAAATGCCCTGCTCTCCCCCCATCCCCAATTCTCTCAGCTAAAAGCACCCAATGCACAATATAAGCAATTCCAGAGGTCCTTGTTCAAATTCTGGCAAAACACAAATTCTAAACTTCCAAACATGGCTTGGTAATTTTTGGCAGGGTGTTCAAAAAAAGAAAGCCAAAACCACAGATATCCTTCCCCTGGTCCTCAGTTTGAGTAAACTAGAGTCAAGTAGCTCCTGTGAAATTTTGCTACTGAAGTAAAAGGGAGTTTTCCCTTCTGAGTTAAATGGGATATTTTGATTAGACAACTGTTCCACTTTCCATCTTTTAAAACTTAAAAAAACCCTTAAGATCATATTCTGTCTATAAAAATACTAATTACTCTGGTCACATATTACTTTAACAGATTAGCAAAGAAGTCATATTCTACCCATACAACCAGGACTTGCCTCTAAGTCACTCCTATTTATCCATGTGAAGAACAGTAAAGCCCAGTGCTGCATTAACCAAGTACTGTGTTACAGCTGAGTTTCACCTAGAAATAAATTGTTAATTCCAAGTGTTGCAATCCTCCCCTCAACTCTATTTCTCTACCTTGTAGGTTTGAAAGGAATAGGGCAAGAGATTAACAGAGAGGATTTAAGCAGGATTACTGGGCAATTAGCCAATTTACTCAATGAATTGTCCCATAGCCACAGCAAGGACTACTAAACTCCTGGACAACCTTGCTTAATGCTGCTGCAAGAAACTTGGTCTCAGCTGGATGATTCCTAGTTCCTCTCCCCTCTCATCCTCCTTCCCCACCAGTTTAGACCATGCTAAAGTAAAAAGTCCGAAACTTAAGATGGGTCACTGAAAGAATAAACTACTTCCACAAGTACAAACTCCTCTAGGAGTGCAGTAATTTTTATTGAATTCCAAGATGATCAATTGCAAAGCACAGCCATAAAATCCAGAATGGGAACATTTAGCAACAGTCTGAAATGTAGAATTGATTTTCACTGTCATAAGGGTTTTACACACAGCTTTTGCAGGACACTTAAAGCTTTAAAACTTCCTTTTAATCAGTGTAATTGCCCATTGCCTCCCCAATACACACTTATGTTCTAAGACGCAGTGACTTCCTGATTTCTGAGAAGTAAGACACTACAGTGTCTTTTCAGAGTAGTTCGAGATTATCAGAGCAGATGCTTCCCTCCGATCTGACATTCAAGATTGTCCACAGAAGAAAAATGCAACTGCTGACTGAAGATATAGATCCAGTGATGAGTAACTATCACCACTGTTACCAAAACAGCCGATGCATTCTAGATGATCTATTGTCAGACTTGAGAGGAAGCCTGCAGCGCACAGAGCAGAGCTAACAGTGTTCATCCTCCCAGAGGGAAACTGTTTGCTCTATTCTGGAAAACCTCATTAAAGCTCCCCTAGTTCAAGCTACCGCAGTCTCTAACAATCAGTATGTTCTTACGGCTGGGGACAAGGCACTGGATGAAGACCTCTGCACTTATAATTTTGGAATAGGAGTTGCAGCCACTGCAATGCTTTCAATTGCACATTCGTCACTGCCACGGCGGATTCTGAAGTAACCATCTTCCCCCCACGAGGTGCCCCAGCTGTTCTTCACAATCCAGAACTTCTCACCACTTTTTGGGTCTGTACCATAGCCCACCAGCAAGACAGCATGATTGGTCAATTCAAAAGGATTGAAGTCATCCTTCAGCCCAGTGTGATGGTAGATTCCCTCTTCATAATGGATGAAATCACTGTAAACCTCAAAGGCAACAGTTATTGGCCCATGCTGAACAAGCTCGAGTTTCATCAGGGCTTCATTGCAGCCTCCATAGAAACCACCAACATAGTGGTACTCAGAAGTGTAGTACCGGTAACAGTTATGCTTGAAAACGCATGGAGAATCTTGTGCTGTGTACGGGAAGCAGTCCTCTTCCACCACACCGAAGTCTTGGACATACTTTCCAGCAGTGAGATATGGGAAGCCACCAAGACAACCTAAATAACAACAAAAAAATCTGCTTATTCCCTTGGACAGTTATTTGAGGTGGGAGACTCTTCTACTCTTATCTTTTAGAATACTTTTAGTTACAGGATTGAGCACAAACGGCAGTGACCCAGATAATCCTTGTATTCCAGTTAGCTTTAGCTAGCTTTCTGAAAACACACAAGACAAAAGTCACATCAGTGGGACCTATACTGGTAACACCAATGCATGGATCATGTTATTATCCAATTGCTCCTGACACTCCACATCAGGAAGAGCAGTTAGTTACACACAGTAAAAAGACCTGTCCTAACACAGGCACTGTCCTTTAGAAAGCTTTAGTCACTGCTTTTGCTCATATCCTCCTCCCTCTGAATATACTTTTAGGAAGATACTTAGTTCCACTCTTTCTAGTTACACACTGCAATTTAGCTACAGTTTTAGCCCTCCTCCTTAGATATTCCTCATCTCCCAGGCAGATCTGCCTAAAACCATGTAACAGCCTAAGCATGAGGCCACCTACTCCTGGTTCAATCCCATTCCTACAGTAAGGCGGGTTGACGACTCTGGAATATTTTCTGCAACCTTTCAAAAAACACAAAAGTGCTATAAAGTATAGCCTACCACATACTTTATGATAAAACTAAATCATGGGTGATGAGGAAGGCATGGAAGTTTTTAATATACAGTCTCCTTCTGCAGCACTATCATTACTGAAAGTTACCTTTGTATACATCAGTGTACTTACCCTGAGAATAGAGGCTGCAAGACACCACCTGTTGGGGACTAAGGATTGGTTTCTGAGTGTTGTTTGTGAGGATACGTATTCTTGCTTCCAGCATTCCCATGGAGGAAAATGCGTAACAGCTGCCACATGGGTCTGAGGAAAGGAGAAAGAGGAACCACAAAGAGCAGTCAGTAACATAAACAAGGCAAGTCACCTGCATTCAGGTACAACTCTAGCAAGAGTCTACTGAAAAAAGTCAAAACCTGCCAGATAGTGATTAGAAGCTGAACACCAAAAGAACAAAAATTTTCAATACACATTTAGCTTTTAAGCATGCAAGTCAAAAAACAGTTCTAAACTCCTGAAGCAACACCGAGCTTATTCAAGAATAAGAGACAATATATTGCTCTTCAGTGTTTTCCAGTAGTATCATTTAGAAGCTATGCTATTCCTTCAGAATGAACCTACAGGGACCACATTAGCAGGGCTCATAACCTACTGCCTCAGACTATAACCCTTTATGGAGCACATATGCTAAGGGGCAATGAGCTCTTTCAAGTGAATGCTGATGATATTGTTCTAGATTATTTCAACCTACCAATGGATTTAATGCTGTACTTTCCAGTTGAAAAAATATTCCACCTCTAAAGCTACCCCTAAAATAACCGACTTTTGAGAGTCTAGTGGTATAAATAGGTTTGACACAGTGGATTCATCCCAGCTCCCCTTACTTCCCAAGGGCATGTAATTGTACACTGGCTTTTCAGAGGCACCTTAATTTCACTTGTTTCCTGGTAGAAGCAGCAAGTCTCCTTACTTTTGCATCAAAATTTAGTATTGCTTCTAGTTTTAGGTCTCTTCAGTCCCTAGGAGCTTCCTGTAACACGTTAAAAACCTTTGGAAGTGGAATGACAAGCATCACAGGGAAGGACAATTACTTGGATGAGGTCCTATTTTATCTACTGATTGTCACCGAGCTGCCCGATTTCCTTTTGTTCCCTGACAGTAGGAAAGCCAAATATTGCAGAGCTATGAAAATGGGGGAGGCTTGAGGAACAAAACAAAATACTTCCTCCTGAACTGTGTAGGTGTATAAAAGCAGCGCTGTTACAAAAGCAAGACTTTCTGAAACTGCACCTTCACTCAGTTAGACATCTCTCTGAAGAGAAGGGGCAAAATCAGCCTCAACATGAATGCTCTTTGCCCAGTAGGGCAAACCAAAGCAGTGAAAGGTGCCTCTCACTCATTGTACAGTCACAGCATCTGAGCTGGGCCACACTGCAGAAGACTTTGTTGCATTTTGTGTGCAAAAAATGTAAAAATACAATGAACACAACCATTTCAGTCTGAAGTCTGTTGGGGTCGTTCCTAAATTTCTTCCCTGTGACCACACTGGTATTTGTGAGGCCCACAGCATGACAACCACGCTGTATCAGCTGAGAGCCAACACAGCTGCAAGAGTAGTTGCTTTTCTGAGACTTCCCACAAATTCTCTTCCAGAGTCAATGCTTCAGCCACATCAGATTCCACTCACTCTACTGCAAAGGGCTGTTACATTACAAGTAGTAAGGAGGACACACAGCACATCTAATGAACAATCAGCTGACCAGGCTTTTCATCTGCTTTGATCTGCAGAAAAAGCTTGCAGAAAGAAGTCAGCAAGAAATTGGAACTGTACTCTAAGGCTAACAAAATCTGTGGGTTCCTCTCTTCTCCCCCCTGTAAAGTTGATAACAAGCAACAATAGGGTTAACTTCAAAGACAACACATCTCTTGCCTCAAAGATGCAGTTACTGCTCTATAAACAACCTGAGAACTCAACCTCTACTTTCTTGACTCTAGGAAATGCTAGCAGGGATGTTAACATGCCAGCTGTAAATACTACAGTCCAACACAACTGCCATGTTTTAAGGTATTCTACAGAGAATGCACATTTCTCTTAATTCTTGTCCACTTCAGACACCGTTTGTTTTTTTTCTCCTTAGGTAAAGAGCAGCAACTCCACAAGCCTGTGAGATCTGCAAAAACATGATCTTGTAATTTATAAAATTCTCACTGCACATGCCAGACAACTTGTATCTTACTGCTTGCAGCCTTTTCCCCATGGCATTTTCTAATTAGTCATCTGATAATCTTAATGGTATACAACTAAGACTTTCTAATACTATCATTTTAATGAAACATTGACATCCAGTGCCTCAGAAAATCATACAAGCTACCATAACCAGGACTTAATTTGTATGCCAGCGCTATTTTGTAGACAGTCATCTTTTGGAGGTTTTGTTTTGTTGGTTTTTTTTGAAAGCCTGAAAGCTAAAATTCTAATTTAACAGAGCAGAATGCATATCCCATAGACATTTAACATACTCAGCATGGATTCTCAGATTACAGAAAAAGTGTAGGCAGCTTTATTACTGCAAGCAACAGACTGGTTCTCATTTAGAGAAATTTTGAGGTAACACAATGGAGAAGGGTAAGTTTGGGACCAAGTGTACAACTGTTCGGAAGGCAAAAGGGCCCTTGTGATATTCACAGTTCACACCAGGAAAAAATACAGGACTCGCACCTCTGTAGGACTATCATTTCCTGTTGCCATCTTTCAGCGATGCCATGTGCCAGCTTGTGAGCTAGAACTTCCACAAGCCTTCCTATGCTGCTTCTGCTACCAGGAGTCCAGCTGACAGAATCTGGGAGGACAACTAAGCTATAAATGATGGAACAGGGATTTAAATCATCGCCACCCCACCATGCTAATGTTATGTTCCCTTCAGCCCAAAGCTGCAACCAGATAGCTACTGGTAGATGCAAGTTTATTTGGAAACAGAGGTGCAGGGAAGGGACACATTAACCAAGTCCACTCTTAGCCTCTAGTATGTAACCATCTGATTCAGGTATCTCACATGGCAGTGCTATAAAAGCATGCCCTATGGAATAAACATATACCAGAATGGTATCCTTTTAAGTCTACTTTGAGCTTCCCTATCACAGGGGCAAAGGAGAAAAAAAAAAGTTTTTACCAGTACTTTTTATTTATCAGTGTCCACACTTTTCATAGTGACTGCCACTCTTGCAACTAGCCATTTAAGTAACTCCTAAAGTTATTGAGGTGATAAGATTTGGCAGCAGTATAAACAATTTTCATGGGTTTATTCATTAAAGCTGCATGATAATTTAAAAAACAGCAGCATGAATCAGGGAAAGAATTAAATGTACATCAGTTCTGTCAGTGTGCAGAAAACCATGACTGAGACTGTTTGGACAAAACTTGAGAGCTGTCTTTATGTAGGGCACTCTCATAACTGACTTCCACTCCAGCAAGGGACACTGCTGTTTGCATAAGCCAGTACCACCATCTATTTTCACACAATGTTGTCAATCAGGACTCCACCCAGTTTGTGCAGGTGATTCATAGTAAAGGTGCAGTCTGTCAACTGCAAGAGACTAGATAAAACTTTCCTGTTAATAGCAAATTACAAGGTGCAAAGGAGCTCTAGAGCATGTCATTCAGAGTTTTGATTTTTCTTTTTTTACCTTGACTCCGAACAGGGCTGACATAATTGACACCATTCACATCTCTCCAGTCCCAGGATTCTGGCAAGCCTGAAACTTTCTTGAGTAACTCAGGCGTTAGAGGTGCAGGCTTTAGTCTAAAGAAGAAAAAAATGCTTCTGAGTAACATATCACACTAGGCAAGGAAACAATCACATAACAGTTGGCATTTTCTGGCTTCTACTAGTTGCACTTACTTCACACTAAGCAATTTGAAATAGTCTCCACCTAAGCTGAGTGGATGTCAATCTCAAGAGATTAATTTCAACAGGATGAAAACAATGC